CTTGGATTTTACCACAGTCATCAGTTGTGTAATGTAATATATCTTGTGTAAAAACTACAGTATTTGAGTAATTTGTTTATATTGCTGTTGTTGTATTACTACATGAATGAGTTGGTCAGTTGTGAACATTTGACATTATGGCAGCACAGTGCTTTCCCACACTTTCACCAGAAGAGGTCCTCATCGAGCTCTGATTTAGAAAGCTTCGAGTAACGAACCCTTTTCCGATACAATTGAGTCGAGCGCTTCACTGGTTCAGAAAGCTTCATTTCACCATCAAAACAGACCTTAAACGCACCGGATTTTGCATTGCCATTCAATTCGCCGGAAGCGCTTAGGTTAAAGGCAAATTAAAAGTCCTATTAGCATGCTTCGCCCCATTTATGAAAATGTTTTCTTTTATAAATGTAAATTAGGTCATTAATAAAATTAAGACATATGCAATAAAAATGTTATTGCGTCGTTTATTAGACCTTTTTTTTTTTTTTTACTAATTTCTCATCTTATTTTAAAGTTTAGAATAATAACTGAACAATATGGAATATTATGGGCTGGAATCGGTCTGCTACATCTGGCAACACTGTTTGAACACTTTAGTCACATGACCAGGGTGTTTCAGATAATGCTTGGAAAAGTCTAGATCGGATACATGGCCAGGTGAAAATAAATGAAATTTTTAATAAATAATAACAATATTTCTCGTTAACGTCCGGCAACAACTACCGGTGCTTCGAAACGTCAGTTTCACGTCACCCAGACGTACAGGAAGAGCAAATTAAAAGTGAAACAGCCGTTCGATCTTGCAGAGGGCAGATAGCACCGCATTTTAAAATCAGGTTAACGTTAAAAAATAATTAACTGTTTTTCACCGTAAGTGACTTAGGCAGTGAGTGACGATGTTGGGAAAATCCAGGTATGTCTGTCGAAGTTTTTTTCTGAATAATAGCCTACCATTCAAGCTAATATGTTCGGTAACACTACACAGTTAGCTTGAAATAAGCCATCATTTGTAATGTTTATGAAAACGGGATAAAATAGCCAGGCTAAATTTGGTGCAATTAGCTGATTGGTCGGCTTATGTCCATCACTTCACCCATCATTTGTCGAAATATTTCGGACACATACGCAAACTATTTTTATTACTTTGCTTACACCAAATTCTGCGACCGTCGTATTCTGTGACTCTAGTAGGCGCCGTTCTCACTGTTTTACTTGAACTCGCTCCCACAGGCGGACTGGGGTCCGTTCTTCGTACCTCGCTTAAATGATCTAAGATGATTTTGCCGAACCTGGATCTTTTAATCTTGATAACTGATCTCTCGCTAATTTGGTTCTTCAAACAAGTTCGTGAATCAGATTAGAATGTCTGGATGAACTGATCTGAGATCGCTGCGTGTGTTGTGAAGGGCAGATCTATCGATCCTCGAAATCATGATCAGCAATGCAACGATTGGCTGACGGCACAGCAGCGTAATGACATCATCTGATTAATATTCAATTATCCATGTGAGCAAAATTACATCAAATTAGCAGTAAATGGTTTGTTAAATATGACACGCAATAACCTTCCACATTTGTTGTGAGCTGCAGGCTTTCCACTTTCATGTGTCAAGAGTATTCATCATGTATTTCAATGCATATCAATGTATTTAGTTCTACATTTAGAAAAGATTTTCTTTATTATAGTAGCCGTTTTTTAATCGTTGTATGGAATAACTGGATGTTTACAAAAGCATTTTGATATTGGTAAAGGTGTCTGCAACTTTTGTGAAGCATCAAATCACTGTCATATTAACTGTCAAAACATGTTCATGACTGCATTAATGTATTATTTCTTTTTTTAAAAAGTCACATATTTTGCATTTCTCATAAACAAATTGTACTAAAACGATCTAAAAAGTTCATATCAATAAATTTTCTCTTTGTACTTTCATTTCGAGGGTGCAGATTGCATAAGTTTTGTTAATATAACTTTATTTTAATAATAATTATAACTTTATATATATAGTTAATTTTTTTAAACTATTTTCCCAAGTGTATATAACTACTACTGTAAGAAAATATCATAATTCGGTACTTTCTCTATTATCTTTGCTTGAACTGACTCGATCTAATCCTGTTTATATGAATTGAACCTGCTCCCGATCAGGTTTGAGCTAGCAGAACTGTTGCTATGACAACAACTCTCAGATCAGCTTTGAAGAATGAAATGATCCTGGATCATGTCAAATCGTCAATATCCAAATCCAGCTAACTGAGTAATCCACGTACGAAGAACGGACCCCTGGACACGCAAACAGCGTACACACTCTCACGTGAACGCGCTCGGCGCCCGTGCACATTATATGAGCGCGTCAATATATTTCATCGTTCTCTGTTTACTATTATTTTTCTTGCCTTTGATATATAGATGTTAAGTTTACATATATTTAACAGCCCATCAAATAAAGCATTTTGCTATAATATGACCAGTACAGCGAGCTTTTATATTAATTTTAGGTTATTAAAACACACTATCTATCTATCTATCTATCTATCTATCTATCTATCTATCTATCTATCTATCTGTCTGTCTGTCTGTCTGTCTGTCTGTCTGTGTAGCTAGTCTAGTTTGTTTTAGCATTTTTCCCTTGTAAGCAGTTATGTAGATTACTGTTGATCCCTTTTAAATGTTCCCTAAATATGTTTATAGAATTTCTAAATTGGCTTTTAAATTAAAAAGAAAATTATTGAAGTAAATGTGAAATGTGTGTGTAAAATACTGGTTAACAGAATGTAGGCACACAAGTTAAAATAAGTAAGGTGCATAATTTAATTTAAAATGAAATGTTTTTTATGTGTATATTTTCAAAAAGGTTAAATCTAAGAAAACATTTAACTTAACAATTACTTGAAAACTATTAACATAAAGACATGGTATGGGATTAACATTCTGCACAGTTGTAGGGGCTTCATGGAGTCAGGCTTAAACACATTACATGTGATACCTCTGGTCACACGTGTCACTGAATCTGTAACGAAGGAATAAATGTTTTGAGACTGCCATCTTATTTTAAAAGAAGGTTACTCAAGAACAAGGTAATGGTTTACTGTATGTTTCCCCTTTCTTCTTCCACTTCTATATTATTTTCCCCACAATAGTGGCACAGCTCACTAAGGTCATCTATTGAACCAAAATATACTTTTATCTACAACTATATGAAGGGTTAATTGGGTCTTAGTCATGTGGGAAAAAGTTACTATGGAAATTATAGCTTGACAATTTGGCAATTACTTATCACTAAAATGTAATATTGAATTAACATTTTCTAAATTCGCACAATTCTATAATAAAAAATATCAAAAGGCAAAATATCTCCAAATTATACCCTTTTTTTCACACAACTTATTTTTGTAAGTTGATTATTTTTATGCAGTGAAAAACAAAGTACCAGATTCATTCAGCAGTCTAATGGCAATTTTTTCCCCTGTCATTGTCCCATACAGAGATATTATTTGCAAACTGCAGAGACTCCACAGTTGTGATGAAACAAAACACTTTATATATATATATATATATATATATATATATATATATATATATATATATATATATATATATATATATATATGTATCATACATTTTCTTTTGTGTGATTTAAAAAAAAAATCCTAACTTGAAAAAGACAGTAAGGCAGGGAAGAGACTTGCATTTTTTGTTTATTTTTATTTTGACTATGTCAGGTAACACTTATCTGTAGGCTATATACCTATTTTTAAGGTAATATTTATAATGGTTTTCCTAACTGTTTTGGCATGCACGGAGGACTGTGATTTGGCATTTTGGAAAAAATAATCTGCATAAACTTTAAATAAAATTAGGTGTAGAATTATTTTTATTGCTATGAGTTTTTGCTGACCAAATAAAAACTTCAAAACAAAACCATGGTGTAGATCTATATACTTATGCATGAATTAACACATAGTCCTTTAATATGGATACGATAATAATACTAAAATGAGCATTAAAAAGTCTTGTATATCATTTTGAAAGATGCAAGTGTGCGGTGAAAAGAGAAAGAGAGAGCAAAACTGTCCAGAAACATTATTACAAACTGTTTGATTGAACCATGCGTGTTGTATTTTATCATATTTGAATATATATATATATATATATATATATATATATATATATATATATATATATATATATATATATATATATATATATATATATATATATATATATATATATATATATATATATATATATATATATATATATATATATTTATTTATTATATATATATTTATTTATTGGGTATGTATTATCAAAATTGTAGTTTTTTATTATCATGTAAGCTGTTTGCATTTGGAGAACATTATTTTTTTCTGTGTGAAATACGAGGGATCAGATACTAGCATTGAACAATTAATTCAGCACACGCAACCTGGGTGCATTAACGAGGCATTAACGACGCAAACTAGACTAATTACACAGACAGACAGACAGATGGACAGACAGATGGACAGACAGATAGACAGACAGACAGACAGACAGACAGACAGACAGACAGACAGACAGACAGACAGACAGACAGACAGACAGACAGATAGATAGATAGATAGATAGATAGATAGATAGATAGATAGATAGATAGATAGATAGATAGATAGATAGATAGATAGATGGTTTAATAACCTAAAATTAATATAAAAGCTCGCTGTACTGGTCATATTATAGCAAATTGCTTTATTTGATGGGCTGTTAAATATATGTAAACTTAACATCTATATATCAAAGGCAAGAAAAATAATAGTAAACAGAGAACGATGAAATATATTGACGCGCTCATATAATGTGCACGAGCGCCGAGCGCGTTCACGTGAGAGTATGTACGCTGTTTGCGTGTCCAGTCCGCCTGTGGGAGCGAGTTGGGCTGTTTCTCAATATGCGTTCTTCAGCGGTCTTGCGTCCTCGTGTTCTCGTGCAACGTCATCATCAGCTGCCTAAGTTCAGTTCCAATACTCAAGATCGCAAGTACGGAGGACGCGTGAAACTTCCCGGATGTGTTCTTGATATCGAGGACACACCGTCCCATTTCTCAAAGGACGCATTCTCTGCCCTCGCGGTCTCCTGAGTTCGTTCTTCCGAGGACACCTGGCAAGACCGCTCTCCACAAGAACGCAAGTCCATTCTCTGCGTTCTTGGAATTGAGAAACACCTTCAAGTTAAACAGTGAGAACAGCGCCTACCAGAATACGGCGGTCGCAGAATTTGGTGTAACACCGCCATCATCTTGTGTTTCTTATCTTAAAGGACTTGGAGAGTGAAAATATAAATTAAATACAATAAAGTATTATGTATGATCAGATGCAGTAAATGAAATAATATAGAGAGAAATAAGTCTGTAAAATGACAGAAATAGTAGTGGCAGTTTATTACAGTACCATAATATACAACACCAAACCATGCAATATATCACTTTACGCTATTAAAATGTCATTAAAATGCCTTTTACAAACTTTTCAAGATTAAACATTGTTGGAAGAAAGATCAAGGCCCCATAATGCAATTCAAAAGCATACAACTGATTTACAGACATTTCTTTTACTATTATTATTATTATTTGTTATACAGCAAAGTGCTTGAAACTGGCGGGTTAATGTGCAATATAACAAAACAATAACTATTATTTAAATAAAATATTCTATATTGTTCAGTAATTATTATAACCTTGACAAAAGGGTCAAATAAACAGTATAACGGAATAACAACTTTAGTCTTTAATTGTCTATTAATTGTCTCTATAAAAATGTCTTAATTTACATTTATAAATGAAAATCCTTTTGTAAATTGCATAAAAATTACTATTAAAACAGCGAACAATGTATTTAGGATTGAGCATTACTTTTAAAGTGGTAAATTCCCGTAACAATGACTTGTTTCAGTGTAAGGAGACTATGATATGTGTTGCCAAATATTACTTTAAACTTTTTTTTTTTAACAGGGAAAAAATATTGGTCTTATTCCAGCTGATGTTGCTGTCGACTGAAAGTAAGCACAAGTTTAACAGTCAAGTTAGAAAATGCCTTATTATTACTTTTTATTTAATCATCTTTTCTCTTTTTAGTGTCTCTGCAGGAGAGCATTGTGGGTTTTATTGGTGACTCAGTTGTTTTGGAATGCTCTTCTGGACAACCTGAGCTCACAGTTCAAGACATCACAGTGCGCTGGAGACACAATAATCTGAACGTGTACGACATTATTAATGGACAAGTTTCAGTAGAGGGACAAAATCAAGCATATAAGAACAGAGCTGATACCTTCCCTGATGAATATAAGAATGGAAACTTCTCGCTCAAACTCAACAATCTTCAACACAGTGATAAAGGAAGTTACACGTGCTATATTATAAATGAATCAAAATATAAGAGTGTCAATCTTATTGTCGAAGGTGTGTAAAAACATTTTTATTCCAAAGAGTAAAGAGGTCTAATAACAAGAATATTTACATTTTAATACAATTAAACATAAATATTTGAATTTATTATTTATAATCTGTTTCATATGCATGCGTGTTTGCATTTAATAACACATATATACAGTACACACATACATTTTGCCAAAACAAATTTTTGTTTTGGATTAATCTTTGCCCAGCATTAATAGTTTGCTCTAGGAATGGATGCATGTATGTTTTCATATAATTTTTCCCATTCATTTTTGTCCATTCAGAAAAACAAAAGAAAACGAGCCACGGAACAAAACCAAGACCAGATTTGACCTTAATCATTTTTGCTATGTGTATTGGAATTTTTTTTCTTGTGACTGTAAGTTCAGTGTATTAAATTTTAACGGTAGCGTGAAGTAAATGTCATGAGTAGATCACACTGTCTAACTAAACACATATGATGTTTGTGTTTCAGAACTCAGCCACAGGTTTTTTTGTGCCGGTCCCGAGCCCGGGTAAATGAGGAGGGGTTTAAGCAGAATTTCCACTAAGTAAGTGCATCTTTAATCCTACAGCCCTTTTTACAATGCAGATAATGTCAAACCAGCTTTATACAGATAAACAGGAAAAAAAACATAACAATAATCAGATTGTGGCACATGTTCAGCATATCACGCAGAACGCAGAGTGTAGTTAAACTTAAATGAAAACTAATTCTATTCAGTTTAATACAAATGTCCCTGTCCAAGTATACCGCAATGCTGGTAGTTTTAGTATTCAACCCAAGGCCCACTGATGTAATTTGACAAAACAAATTTCAGCTGTACTTGTGTATATATATATATTTTTTTCTCTCTCTCTCTCTCTCTCTCTCTCTCTCTCTCAGTTTTTCAGTTCAGTTCAAGTTGCTTTATTGGCATGACATTAAGTACAGTATTGCCAAAGCATTTCAAATATGAAACATATTAAAACCTCTCTCTCTTTCTCTCTCTCTCTCTCACAGTTAGATTGCATTAATATTAGTTACAAATCATTTTGTTCAGTCTTTTAGTGTTATTGGTTTGTAAATAGGTTTGTTAAACTATCCATAGACTTAAAGCACATTTTCTTGTTTTACAAAATATGATACATCAACATTTAACTAAGATGCCTACAATTTTTATTTTTTTATGAATATATATTTTTGTTCCAGATCGTGCAGATATTAAAGGTGGTGTAGGTGATTTGCCAGAATGCTAGCATTAGCATAATAGCTTTGAAATTTTACGACTCTCTCCTGCCGTCCAAAGCCACGCCTCCTTAAGTCATGAACACGCGAACTCGCACTGATTAGATAGAACACTAGATCATGCCATTCACCAGTTAGAAAACTCTATGGAGACATGCACTTTATCAAGCGGAGTTGTTAACAGGCCAAAGGGTGCAGGAATTATATATCTCCAAAACTGTGTCACGGGCTGGCACTGTTCAAACATGAACAATTGTGTGAATTTAAATCAAATTTCACCTCAGTAAAGTTTTTAAGTTCTAAAGGGTTAAATATGCAAGAAAGTTTTACCGTTAATTGTATAACTAATTTTGTCTATTTGAATGAACTGCAACAGGTCATACATCCAATGAAAATAGTTTGGCGGAAAAGGCTTTTTCCAGTTCAATAGGATAATTCTTTTAGCAATTATTAAGCAAAAGACTGCAAAGATGACAGTGACACATTTCTAGGATTGAGTCCGAACAGTGCCACTAAAGGAAACGGGTCAATTTTTAGAAGAAAAATATCAGATATTGATTTAAAGAGCCCATATTATGGGTTTTTGAAAATGCCCTTCCATGTAGTGTGTAACAGCTCTAAGTGAAGTGAAATACCCAGCTAAGGCTTAAATCTGTAAGTGTACACTGTTGATTCATCTATAAAAGAGTCGACTCATAGTGCTTCAAATAAGTCGTCTTGATAACGAGTCATTAGGTGTTTCGCCATGACGTGATAACGAAACCAAGTAGTTGCACTTGCAAACCCGGTCGTCTGTATTTTCAAGTCCATCGTCTGTATTTACATTCACCCACTGGCAGCCAAAATCCACGCCTTACACTATCGAGCGTGTATGAACTGTGAGTACTTTTATATTGTTGATTAGCTGCTGGGCATTTCACTCTGTCTCTCGCTGAAGGCAGTCAGTATAGACCAATCGCAATAGTCTGTTATCGGTCCAATCAGCGCAGTTTAGTTTTGCGCTAAGGAGGGGTTCGGGAACTAATGAATCACTGAACGATTTATATGGGAGTCGCTGGGATAATTAGGTAAAAATAAATGCAGATTACAAGGTAATGAAAGTGTTTTTTGACCTTGCATGCATATTAGACTGTTGTTGGAGACCCTTACAACCAAAATATGACCCTATTTCATGTATAATATGGGCTCTAAGAGATTTCTCTGGACAAAGCCAAAAGGTATGGTAGAGGTTAGCTGGAGCTTGTCGGCATCCATAACAAATGGGATCAAATTCTGGGTTTGTTTTAGATAGTTTTTGTCCAATAAATTCTGTGTAGTAGTTTAAACTGTATCAGTGAATGGCGAGCAATATTCCATCTAAAGTCTTAAAAAAAGATTTGAGTATAAACACTGGAATGTTTTGAAATAAGAAAAGAAATTTAGACAAAATGTTTGGTTTTTATGCACTGCAAAAAATGCTTTTCTTATTTAGATTTTTTTGTCTTGTTTCAAGTTCAAATATCTAAAAATTCTTTAATAAAGGAGAATTTTCTAGACAAGCAAAACCTATCTTGTTTTGAGAAATAATATGACAGCGAGTTTTTCCTTAAAACAAGCAAAATAATCTGCCAATGGGTTGAGCAAAATAATCTTGTTTTTCCTTTTGACATAAGATTAATTTGCTTACCCCATTGGCAGATTATTTAGCTTGTTTTAAGAAAAAACTCACTTAATATTAACATATGATTTCTCAAAACAGGACAATATGTTTTGCTTGTCTAGAAATATCTTCTTTATTTGAGAATTTTTAGATATTTGGACTCGAAACAAGACAAAAAATATAAGTAAGAAAAGCATTTTTTGCAGTGTGGTATTAATTTTGCCTATACAAGCGATAATGGAAGAGTCGTCCACCTAGCTAGATCTTGCTTTGTTTGATCCAGAATTGGAATAAAAGGTTAACAACACACTTTTAACATTTATGTACATCAAGGCACATTTTTGCATCTGTAAACAAATAGTTGGAAGTAATTTTTTTGCCTTCCCATTAATTTAAAAAAATGTTTCCCAAGTAATCTTTAACAAACCAAATAATTCTTCACAGTATTTTCTATAAAAATAAGTTTGTGTTGAATAAAAGCAGTTTTAATAAATAATAATAAAAAATATATATATTTTAAGGTCAGTATTATTAGCCTCCTTAATATTTACTGTGTATTGTAGATTATCTAATTATCCCAGCGACTCCCATATGAATCGTTCAGCGATTCATTTGTTCCCAAACCCCTCCTTAACGCGAAGCTAATCTGCACTGATTGGATCGATGACTGCCTGTTGCGATTGGTCGGCATTCAGTGCGAGACAGAGTGAAATGACCAGCACAGCTTATCAACAATATAGAAGTAGTTAGAGTGCATAACTAGTTTATTGAACCAAAACTCCAAGAACTGGGGAGGAGATCAACGAAAGTCTCCTAGACCATCACACTCTACCTGCTCTTTTTTTTTCACACACACATTACCCTTTTCCTCACTTTCTTTTTCATTTTCGGGTTGAGGGCAGCGTGATTGCCAATAGAGTGCCAGTTCAACTTGCTCCAGCCCTGAATGTTATTCAGACACCTTACCCCAAATTTAACCCCCCTGGTCTTTTGGATTTTCAGGGACTGATGTGTGTGCTGTTTAACACCAGCATATTGCTCTATTCTTAACCAGGACACACATTCAGTATTAATCCACACAGTGGCAAAAGCTGAACTATTTTGAAACTTGACTGCTGCAAGTGTGTAAGAACAGCTGATGATGGCCATAGCAACGACAAACGGCAGTGGAACACAAGGGGTCCGTTCTTCGTACCTCGCTTAAATGATCTAAGATTATTTGGCAGATCCTAGATCTTTTCATCTTGATAACTGATCTCTCGCTAATTTGGTTCTTCAAACAAGTTCGCGAATCAGATTAGAATGTCTGGATGAACTGATCTGAGATCGCTGCATGTGTTATGAAGGACAGATCTATCGATCCTCGAAATCATGATCAGCAATGCAACGATTGGCTGACGGCACAGCAGCGTAATGACATCATCTGATTAATATTCAATTATCCATGTGAGGAAAATTACATCAAATTAGCAGTAAACGGCTTGTTAAATATGACACGCAAGAACTTTCCACATTTGTTGTGAGCTGCAGGCTTTACACTTTCATGTGTCAAGACAAGAGTATTCATCATGTATTTCAATGCAAATCAATGTATTTAGTTCTACATTTAGAAAATATTTTCTTCATTATAGTAGCTGTTTTTTAATCGGTGTAAAGAATAACTGGTTGTTTACAAAAGCATTTTCATATTGGTAAAGGCGTCTGCAACTTTTGTGAAGCATCAAATCACTGGCATATTAACTATCAAAACATGTTTATGACTGCATAAATGTATTATTGCTTTTAAAAAAAAATCTATTATACACAATTTGTACTAAAGCGATCTAAAAAGTTCATATCAATAAGTTTTCTCTTTGCACCAGATGGCAGTCTTTGTATTTTCATTTCGAGGGTGCAGATTCCATACATTTTATTAATATGTATAACTTTATTTATTTTATTAATGACTATAACTTTAACTTTTTTATATATATATATATATATATATATAGTTTAAAAGTATGTACCATTTTCCCAAGTGTATATAACTACTACTGTAAGAAAATATCAGAATTCGGAACATACTTTCTGTATTATTGCTTGAACTGTTTATATGAATTAAACCTGCTCCCGATCAGGTTTGAGCTAGCAGAACTGTTGCCATGACAACATCTCTCGGATCAGCTTTGAAGAACGAAACAATCCTGGATCGTGTCAAATCGTCAATATCCAAATCCAGCTAACTGAGTAATCCACGTACGAAGAACGGACCCCAGCTCGTAAATGCATTTAAATGTAAACAAAGCAGCATGCATCGCGCTTTCAATGTGGCTTTAGACGCAATATGAGAATATAAAGAGTTAACCTGATACAGTACAAGCGGTTACAAGTAACAAAACACAGTTAAATACATAATTTGAAAACAAGGAGACAACCATTTTAATCGCACTTACTTACACTTGTGAAATAGAGGAAGAAACTGATCCTTGTACATAACAGTCCCTTACATCAAGTCTTTTCTGATCCTTCCTTTAGCAAACAGCTGATGAATTATCCATTGTAAGGGTGTAAGACTCCAGAATGCTGAGATATTTTTGCAAAATTAAACTTCAACCACTGATTCTTCACAGTTTCATCTATGGGTAGAGAAAATAGCACTAACTTTCCTCTCACACTTCCAGTAATATCCAGCTGAGTACAGCGTTGATTCAACCGGCGTCTGCTACAGTGTGTGTCTACTCTCTTTTTCTTTGTGTACTGTGCTTGTGGGTGGGACCACAGGCTTCAATTTTCCTGGGTTTGTGCGCACAACAACTGGGCAGTGCTTAAGGCTCTTTAAAAGTCAGACTCTGACACCATTTGTGATAATAGATTCAAATCAACTCTAAAATTGTTTAAAAATTATTTTCTGTAATGCACAAGCTTTGTTTTTTTACAGTTGTGCCTTTTTGATTTTATTTACAGTAATGAATTAATATTTTCAGTATATTGAATTCACTATAAACACTTAGATGAATTAAACTCTGACACCATTTAAGATAATAGATTCAAATCAACTCTAAAATTGTTTAAATTATTTTCTGTAATGCACAAGCTTTGTTTTTTGTTTTTTTACAGTTGTGCCTTTTTGATTTTATATACAGTAATGAATTAATATTTTCAGTATATTGAATACACTAAAAACACTTAGATGAATTAAACTCTGACACCATTAAAGATAAAAGATTAAAATCAACTCTAAATGTATCTGAATATTATTCTGTATGATGCAAAAGCCTTGTTTTTACAGTTGTCTTTGTTGATTTTTTTATATACAGTAATGAATTCATATTTTCATTATATGGAATGCACTGTAAACCAGGGATGGACAAACCTATTCCTGGAGGGCCGGTGTCCTGCAGAGTTTTACTCCAACACTAATAAAACACACCTGAAAATGCTAATCAGTGTCCTCAAGATCACTAGAAATCTATAGGCAGGTGTGTTTAATTAGGGTTGGAGCTAAACTTTGTAGGACACCGGCCGAGTTTGCACATCCCTGCATTTTCACACCATTTGAGATCAAATATTCAAATCACCCCTAAAACTCTATACATACTTTTTAACCACAAAGAAGAAAAGTATTAATTATTTACTACTATGTAAGGCTGGGATCATTTAGAGTTAACTAGTCAGCTAACAAGTGAAGTAATCTTGGCTGTAATCCTCCCACACATCTTGACAGTAGGACACACTTCTTGATTTAGATTAACCATGCTCCTGGAGCCCCTCCAACACTATTTTGCAAGCCTCCTTAAAGTGTGTGTTTAACCAAAAGATAAATTCTGTTTTGAATTACCCCCACGAGACCTTCACTCATCTTCGGAAGACAAATTAAGATATTTTGGATGAAATTCAAGAGTTTCCTCATCTGCCATAGACAACAATGTTCGCAAATCATTCAAAGGCTAGACAAAGAACCAAAGACATTATTAAAACATACTGTGTGACTTTATTGGTCCAACTGTAATCACAACAAAGCTCCAAGAACACTTTTTCTTTATCAGATCAGCGTGCACAGTACTGCACTTTCATGTTGCACTTTTGATTCTAATACATTGTACTGCTTGTAGTAAGCACATCATTCTTTACCGGAAGCGGGAGAGAAGATGTAAGCAATCAAACACATTTTTTTTTTGGTGCACACAAGTGTTCTTGGAGCTTAACATGATTACAGTAGAAACACTAAAGTCACATGAAAGGTTTTGACAATATTGTTGCTTTCTTTTCTGGACTTTGAACATCTCAGAGCCATTCCTGTTCATGGAGGATCAAAGAGCTTTTAATTTCTAAAATATCTTAATTTGTGTTCTGAGGATGAATGAATGTGACAACATGAAGGAATTAAGTTAACTTATTAGTTTTTACAATTTTTTTTCAGTGGATTAAACTTAAAACAATTAAATTCAACGATAATTTAAATGGTATATTCACCACAAAATAGGCAACCGATTAGAAAATAATTTAATCAAAATAGAAACTAGGTTAGCCTAGCCTCATATGCTAACCATTCAACAGCTTGGTTACTGGAGAGGTGACATTTAAAAATAATCTAATAATAACTAATTAATCTGTTATTTCTCTTTTTTAGCCAAAAAGCCTGATGGACTATTGTTGTGCAATGAAATATATCGTTACTAGCCGATTAGGAAACACGCATGGACAGTGCTTCTACATAATTCATTCATAGAAAAAGCAGCCAGAAAGAAGAAATTGACAAATTTGTGCCGAATATTAGCATCATTGACTGATAACAATGTAAAGTACCTATAACTGTCAGTATGTTTGTGTGCTCTTTACAGTTTCTATTCTAATTTGCAGTTAAGTGGAATAAATTAATATATTGAAATGCAGATGAAAGTATAAATAGCAGAAGTGAACAAAAAGATTTTTCCTACCAGCAAATATTAATCCGACACCAAATTTAAAAGCAGACACAAACCAGCTATAATGTCATCACCAATGACCAAATCTCCAAAAAGACAGACGAAAACATCAGTGATTTGTAGATCTGATATGGCCACGAGGCTTATAAATGACAGCTGCAGGTGAAGTAAAATGGTCGCAAGTGCTTAAGCGAGGGCTTAAAAAAACAGACAGCTGGGAAACAGCCTGCTTTGTATTTTGTAGAAACACAGTTTAGATCTTTTTAGGCTAAGAGGTGTGTGTTATTGCCGTCTATCACTGTGTCAGGAATATGGAAATAAAACCAACTTACCTCCGCTCCTTTAGCGCCGCACATAGAGTTTGATCTGGGCTGGCATTTCTCCTCTTGGGTTTTAGGTTTCGGAAAGGGAAAATATTCCACCACCCTGTCTACACTTTTATGATACTGCACATTCCATAGGCACAACGCTTTGGCCTATTATTTCCCTCCCTCGAAAACTTGACAGCTCCTGCGCGTAGCTATGATTGCTAAGCCATGGTTGGTGGGTGGTGTTTTTTTGGGTGTGGCTTAGCAAAAGGTCAAGTAAAGTTAAATGTTAAAGTATATTGATGGAAAAAGTACTTACTACTCTATTTTTACTTATACTTATCTATCTGCCCAGGCATTTTAATATTTCAAAGTGAGTATGATTAATAGACATGTGTTCATAGTTTTACCACATCTACTACCCGTGGCATTTTCTATAGTATGTAAATATATTTTTAGTTTTCTGAAACTAAATTTTTACTTACTCTGTTTGTAGGTCAGATGGTCGCTCTGCACAGGCAAGAACTGAGTGACTTCCTGAAAAACATTTTCTTTCTGCGTCTGCCCATCTTCGCCTACACACAAAAAGAACAACATCTGCACCTCGTCTGCTGATCTTTGATGCAGCTGTTTTATATTATGTGCAGCAGTCGTTTAAAATAATCCCACAGTGACGTAAGCACATTTAGCACTCAGTTATTCTTGGCAGGATAGTCCTGTTATGGGCCAAACTTAGACAGAGCAAGGGACAGCAGCTGCAATTCAGCACGATGGGGTAATAGAACAAAACTCAAGATCGTAAACAACTGTGATTAATGATGAGCTAATTTAAATACTTAAAATTTCAGAAATGATCTAGGAGGAGTCCAAACTAACAGGGTCTTGGCCTGAAGGCATTTGCAAGTTAACAATTAAAATCATAGCACCACCAGATGGCCAACACAATTAATCAGTTGCAAAAATGTTTAAAAGAATTTCAAAAATGTACTATCTGACTGCAGATTTGCATATGGAAGGTGAGATATGCAAGGCATTTTAGAATGATCATATTTGGGGGTCAATGTGGCCACTAAAATATTTTAAGTTGTTCTTATTTACAGGAATGCTGCATTTTCTTTAATCATTGTTAAAATGCTTGTTACACAATATTGTTATCGTCTTGTCCTTGATCATTTTCATTTAAATTTTTTTTTTAAAATGTCATTCCTTTTTAGAATAAAACTTGAATGTGCTGCTCTGATGTGTCCTGTGTTAAACGTTTTTAGAAATTCTAAAACATATTCCTAATTAAAATAATCTTGTTATTATGACATGTTCATCTTACAAATATATTTAGCTTTTGTACTTAAATAGGTTTATCACATTGAGTCATTTGTAGATAAGCCTAAAGTTTCCACAAAGACTAATTATAGCCTATATGATTTATTAATAATTCACATGGAAATCCAAAATTGAGTAAAGCACTGCCCCCAAATCAAATACTGCATTGCCTTATAATATAGATAATATTATAGATAGATTTAATGCTAACAAGAATTAATTTAAATAATGTTACCAGGACTGCAGGCGATAGAAGGTTGCACATTTCGAGAGGAGATGGCAACACTGACCGTGAAAAAAAGCGAAAGTGATAAGCTTCATAGATATATACATTAGATGTAGCCTGACCTATTGTTGTCTATTGGACGGAATGCGTCAATAGCGCCGCCATCTTGCTACAGGGTAGCGCTCTGAAATGAATGCGGAACCAAGGTACAGTGGAGGACTATGGCCATCCAAAGCCAGAGATATACACATATATCTATGATCGGGAGTTTTCCTGGATGTTAGTATGTAATTTTTTTTCTAATTACGAAAATTATAATTTTACATCACTTTTCTACATTGATGGATCAGTGACCGCTTGGGCATTCCTGACAAAAAGCTTGTGTTTGTGTGTACAGAAATTTCACTGTGTGTTTCAGAAATTGAAACTATTCACCCTCCCTGTTTACTGTTATCATCAATAACGTTACCTGATTAGCACTAAAGTTCAGAACATACAAAAACAGAAAAAAAAAAACTTAATATTACCTATGAAATGTTCTGCTTTTGTGCTTTGTTTTCTTTGTTTGCTCGTTACTACACCCGTTGACAGCGCTAGTCCCGCATCTTTACGTAATAACACTGTCTTGACTAGTGCGGATGAATGACTCTTGTCCTGGGAGCACTGTACCAATGTGGCGGCGCTAATGACGCATGCTCAGGGTCCCTATGCGATATCTAGTGTATATATCTATGGATAAGTTTTTGGGCAGACTACTGCTTTTAATATACGTTTAAATTCAACAATAGAATTAAGTACAACATTGTTCACAGTGAGTAGATAGTGGTAATGTTAGAAGTCTTTCATATATATCCGTTCGAATATTCAAAGTAACATCGTAAACAGACATAATGGACGAATGTGCGAATATAAAACCAACTTTACCTCTATGTTAAGCAGAAACTGTCAAATCAAATGGCTGATTACGGCTGAAATTAGCTGATTAGTACTCAACCAAAGGTGAGCACAAAAGTTTAGCAGTAATGTCAAAAATGATTGAAGATCCCATATAATGAAAATCTGGGTATGTAAGCGAAATAATTAGGTTTTCTATCCCTAGATTAAACAGTAATGGTACAATTGAAATCTCTTTGACAAAAAAAAAGACTTTATATATAACAGTGAAGCAATATTCCGCCATGGACAAAAGAAAGGGGCTTTATTTTGATGTAAAAAAAAAAAAAAAGATTTTTCATCCATTCAAAATACAAAAATGTATTGATAACTGTCAAATATATGATGTAAATGACATTTAAAAAGAAAATACTACATAAATATGAGAAAGTACACTCTCAGAAAAAAGTGGTACAATGTTGTACCAAAGATGGTACAAACCCTGGTCACTGGGGCAGTACCTTTTTATGGAACATAATTGTACCTTAAGACAAAGAAACAATTTTGTACCATTGCAGTTTGTACATTTAAGGGCATGGTTTGTACCATGGGAAAACAAAATGTAACTTTGGTTTTTAAAACCTGCAGATAAAATATTGTACCTTCTTCAAATGTACAAATCTGATACATGAAGGTATTACAGTGACAAGACACTTTGTACCTTAAAAGGGTCAAATGTGTTCCTTCAAGAACTATTTAAAGACATTTTGCTATATCCAAAATGCGTAAAAAATTCTGTAAATATTAAACATCAAATACATTTTAAACAATGTTTTTTTTAAGTTTCTTTTTGTGTGAATGCACCTTTTCCATTGACAATAAAGAATAAAAATACTTTAACATAACTTTAACACTAAAATGTTACAGAAAAAACTTTCTCCCATGTACAATATAAAACATTTGTTTTCTCCAGTTTCACACAATACCTTTGTAATCACTTAAAAGTCTATTTAATTGACTTAATATTAAAGTAGAAATAGAATTATGCAAAACTAATGTTTAATTATTCATAAAATCACGTTGCCTTTCCAGTAATGTTTATTTTCATAGATATTGTAATAAAGAAGGAGATGTCCAACACTTATGTACCTTTTTATGAGAACAATTGAGTACCTTCATTTCAATTGTACCATAAAAGGTGCAGAACAGTATTGAAGGAACTCATCGGCATATTGCAGTGGTTAACACAAGTTGAATCTGAAATCTTGGGCATCTCCAATGGTCTCATTCATTGAACTAGCTTGAGGGCTTATACCATCAGGATAACAGAGCTCCAATTGATTTCGGGCTCCTCTGACTAGTACTTCTATGCAGATGTTCTGGTACCCTTCGGCTAACTAGCCAATGATTAATTAAACCAGTTAAATTAAAAACAATGGCCCTTACAGGATCTTCAGCGGAAACCATTTCACGAGACTTTTAATTGACTCCTGGTCATGTGCTCGCCTTGGGCATATCCTGCGAGAAGCACAATTTCGTAGAGACAAAGAGATCTCTAGAAACATTAATGCATATGAACAAAAGCTAATCTCTTAATGTTAGAACTAAGGCAGATGTATCTTTGAATAATATGCCATAATGTTCCATATATGCTGTTTATTCCAATCAACTAGGTTAATCAATGTGTTGTTTTAACCCTTATAACAGAGTAAAATAATCTGTATGTGTCTGAAATGTATGATGTCTGGTATTGAACAAAAGCTAGTGACATTTGCAATATGTTGGTGTAAATGAAAAACTAGTAGTACAAACAGTATTCTTCTTGTAACGTTTGATGTAGGACAGTTTCAATCTTGCAAGAGTTCTACCACGTGAAATCTACATGCAGTCTGTTAATTAATGACCTTTCCTACGTCAGTATGGGGCGTGGCCCCACCCTTCATGGCAGCTGCTCATTGGCAGACAGTGCCATGGGGACGAACCAGACCAGGTCACTTAAAAACACCCTGCAACAAAGAAACTTTGCTTTTTGCATCAGCTAGCTTGCGCATGCTTTTGCTCTCTGCCCCCTTTCGCCTGCCCGGACAACGCGTCGCCACGCGATTGGGTCACTATGAACTTCCACGCAAACCTCTTAAGTTTCGGGACTCCCGAAGCTGCATGAACTTCCGCAAACCGACTCTCAGCAGTCTGTCACCTCGGTAACCCAGGACAACAGCCATTCATGAGCGCGTGAATCCCAAAGACGTCATCGAAGCGAGAAACTACCCAATCAGAAGCACCGTGTTTCCCCAAGGCCAGCCGGCGAGGGAGATTCGACTTCAGCAAAAAGGGCGCAAGTAACACAAACTAATGTTGTCTCTTGCTGATCTTGTGCAGATTGATCTTAAGCAGTTAAAGATAAGCCATATCTCTGCTTTTGTGGTTTCTCAGGTGTTATTCTAAGATCTTGTAAGAAGTATTAGAATTAATTTGGGACGTTGTCAACTCATATTGCATCCTCTGAACTACCTCTGTGTGTATGTGTGAATGTGTGTGTGCGTTTGTTTGTTGTTTGCTTATTACGTAGTTAGTTTCATGTATCGTAGTGTAGCTCAATAAATCTTTGTACTCATTTTGTAAGAACTGTGTTCTTGTTTGTGTGCTTCTAAGTCATTGCCTCGAGCTGTAGATCTTGTTACCTTGCTAAACAAACATCCAATACTGTGTTATGTTATTATCGTTGGCCACGTAAATAATATTAACAAGATTGGTGAGATACGATGTCTTCTATTTGCGGGACAAATGGTAGATAAAGTGTGAATCTTTTAATCTGATTCAATCTGACTCAATTGAGTCGAATTGAGGTACCTTCAGGATCCGATTCATTGAAATGAGCTAATAAACCCCTGATCGATATTAAAACGTAGGTTGATCCCCTACAGTATCATAAGAGTTCTTTTCTGTACCATATAAGATACAACTTTTGCAAAGGTACAAAAGTACCTTTTTCAGACTGTATAATGAAAGTAGTCTCCTGGAGTTCAACAAAATCTTTTGTTTTGGAATAAAAATGACTCTTTTAACATAATTTGACTTTCGTCATTCTTATTTTCTTAATTTTCCAACATTCACTTCCACAGACCTTCAGAGAAATTAAGTCACAGTGGCATTTATACCTTTTTCTGTTACAGTCTGTACCAAGGATCATAATGGAGAGACCCTGGCTAGAGAGGAACTTCTAAAATGTTGGTCAACACTTATTTTTCTTTGCCAAATTTCAGAACCAGAAAATATTTTCATGCAACTAAAAAAAGTTTGATTTGAACATGCACTCAACTAATATTTAAATGCAACACTTTCGTTTTTGCTCCCTTGTTTAATGAGCTGAACTCAAAGATCTGAGACCATGTACAAAAGATGCATATTTCTCTCAAATAATACCAGGTGTCTGGTGTGTCCACCATTTGCCTCATGCAGTGCAGCACATCTGCTTGACAAAGAGTGATCACGGTGTTGATTGTGGACTGATGGTCGACTCCTCTTTAGTGGTTGTGCGAAATTGCTGGATATTGGCAGGAACTGGAACAAGCTGTCATATACACTGATCCAGAGCATCTCAAACATGCTCATTGGGTGACATATCAGGTCAGGATGCAAAAACTGGGATGTTTTCAGCTTCCAGGAATTGACAATACCGATGTTTGTGGATGAACGGCACAACAATGGCTCTCAGGGTTTTTTGTCGAGGTATTTCTATGCATTCAAAATACCAATAATAGCATGCCTCACATACCATAATTCCAATGCCACTATTATCAATTTGATTCAGAATGTTG